AGTATGCTGCACGGTGGTTCAGCAGGACTGCTGAGGAACTGAGCGCACCTTCGCCTTTGACAGCGGCACATTGGGCGGCACACGGCTCCACCTTAACCAAGACTGTTCGCTTTGACGCTGATGCTGACGGCGCGTGCAGCCAGCACCAGGTGGAGGTGCTGCCTTCTTGCAGGACACTGTTGCTGGGATGCACATAGACCACAGGAGACCTGTTCCTGTTGTCGTCCTTCCTGTTGGACAGGGGCAATTCCCTGAGCTTTAGCTCCTCCTCCGTCGTGACAAAGCAGCGTGACATGTGCTCTGGCGTTGCATGGACGTTGTGGTGCCGGTGCCGGTGCTGACCATCGTGGTTGGGCGACGATGATGAAGACGAAGCGAGCGGTGGCCAAACGCCGGCGACCTTGCACACGTGGCGCAACGGCGATGCCCTTTGCCTGGCTTGAGCTCGCACAGAGGCGAGGGTGGTCCTCTTCCCAGGCGACAGCGAGACCCATGTCAGTGCACTTCCCCTGCCGCCATCGCCATCACCATCACCCTCAGCAGCAGCAGCAGCGGTCGCAGAAGCGGCTGCAAGGCGAGGCAACGCTTGCCCGTCATCAGCTTCCGCCATCGTGCCGAAAAGTACGGCAAAACATACACAAATCTTCAGGAAGCGCAGTGCACGAAGAAGGGAGGAAAGAAGGGACGAAGGAGCCATCACTCTGCTTCGCTCATTCACATCACACACAAACAAACAAACACAAGCACGGACACGCAGCAAGATGAGCGGAGCCATCAACGACCCCAACCTCAGCTATGAGGAGACTGTTGACGCAGGTAAGGTGTACAGGGGGGTTGTGTGTGTGGGGGGGAGACTCTTTCTCTCTCTCTCTCTCTGGTGTTTGCTTTGGGACGACGCTCACGATGATGGTTTGGTGTGTGTTCTTGGTGTTCTGTTGACAGAGCTGCGGCAAGCGTACAAGGTATGCAAGTGAGGTGCTTAGCGTGTGTGTTTGATGCTGGACAGCAAATTGCGAGATGCTCATTGCTATCCGAATTGCTCTCTCTCTCTCTCTCTCTATCTCTGTGCGTGGTGTGCAGGACTTTGAGCAGATGGAGGCCGGCAACACGACGGGCTGGGAGTACATGTTTGACGTGGAAGGTGCGCCAGAACGAGTTGGCGAAGACCATGAGCATGAGAAGGGGGTTTCTTGCGTGGTGTTTTGTGTAGTTTGGTTCTCACTTGATTTGGTTTGGGCATGCTGGGTGGACGCGTTTGGCCAGACTGGAAGCTGTATCGACGCAGGAAGGAAGGATCTCACCTGTATGAATACATGGTGTGTTATGTGAGAGATAGTGCGTGTGTGAGTGTGAGCGTGAGCGTGTGTGTGTGTGTTGGGGGGGTGCATTCGCTGCTTTGATGTGAAAGGTTTGCTTGAGCTGTCTCAGCACATTGCTCACTGTCACTAACTCTCTGCATGTTTACTCCAAATGGGCAGACGTTTGGGCATGGCCGAGACATGGAGATGCAGCTCATGTATCAGGTGTATATGGACCTCGATTACACGAAGATCTGGCACGCTTACTGCCGAGGTGAGAGAGAGAGAGAGAGTGTGTGTGTGTGTGTGTATGTGTGTGTGTGTCTGTGTCTGTGTTTGGAAGGGGGTTTCTGTTGGCAAAGGAGACACCGGTGCTGATTTCTCATAATGGTGTCGTGCATTTCGGTTTCTTGCTTGAGCAGATGTGATTTCATACGAGGCAGAGTTTGAAGGCGAGGCGCAGCTGTTTGTCGTCAAGTGCCCCTTCCCACTGGTCAGTGAGATTGAGTGCTTGCGTGTGTGTGCGTGCGTGCGTGTGTGTGTGTGTGTGTGTGTGTGTGTGTGTGTGTGTGTGTATTGGTCTTGGGGGCCTCCATTCGCTGATTTGCTGCGTTGTGGCTGCACTGCAGGCTGATCGCGAGTATGCGTTTGTTCGCCACGCGCGCCAAATGAAGCGCAATGGTGCGTGTGCATGTGAGTGTGAGTGTGTGTGCATGTGTGTGTGTGTGTGTTGTGTGTGTGTGAGTTGAGTGTGTCAATGAGCGTGTGTATACGATGCTCGCTTCATCGCTGAACTGTATTGCTCAGCACCATCCTCACCACACACCTGCTCGTGCCTTTAGGCCGCCGCATGTACTTGATTCTGAGCCACACCGCCCGCGACTGCCTCACCAATCCGCCAAAGACAGAGAGGGGCATCGTGAGGTAGGGACGCGCTTCTTGCGCTCTGTGTGTGTGTGTGTGTGTGTGTGTGTGTGTGTGTGTGTGTGTGTGTGTGTGTGTGTGTGTGTATGTGTGCGAACGTTGAGGGAGCTGCGATTGACGTTTTTTTTTTTTTTTCAATGCACGGCCTTGATTGCCGCCACATCCACCGCCACTGACAACAACGGCGCATGTGTGTATGTATGTATGTATGTATGTATGTATGTATGTATGTATGTATGTATGTATGTATGTATGTATGTATGTATGTATGTATGTATGTATGTGTGTGTGTGATGTTTTGGCAGGATTCCCGAGCACCGGCAGGTGATTGTCATGGAGGAAAATCCGTCCGATCCGCAGCGCCCGCTCATCTTCATGTAGTGAGTGCTGCTGCGGGTTGTGTGTGTGTGTGTGTGTGTGTGTGTGTGTGTGCGGGTGACGTCGCTCATAGCATAGTTGTGTGTCGTGCATGCATATGCAGCTACTTTGATGATCCTGGCGGCAGCATTCCAAGGTGAGGAAGAGAGATGCATTGGCATATATGTGTGTGTTGTGCTCTGTGTGTGTGTGTGTGTGTGTGTGTGTGCGTGTGTGCGTTGTGCTGTGTCTGTGCAATGTATGTGCAATGCACCGTTTTTGCGTGCTGTGAACTGTGCCCTCACTTTGTTGACGCGTTGCCCCCTCTCCCACCCCCGTGTCCAACATCACTTGATCGCTGCAGCTGGCTCGTGAACTGGGTTGCCAAGACGGCGGCGCCGAAATATCTCTCCGGTCTCCGCACGGCCATGCGCGGCTACCACACGTGGAGGTGCGCAGCAGCAGTAAATCGGGGGTGGGGGGAGTGTTGTGTTGTTGTTTGGTGGAAGAAGAGATGGAAAGAGACCACTGTGTGTGTGTGTGTGTGTGTGTGTGTGTGTGTGTGTGTGTGTGTGTGTGTGTGTGTGTGTGTGTGTGTGTGTGTGTGTGTGTGTGTGTCGTCGTCGT